ACTGAATGATGCTATTATTTAGGGAAAATGGAAAAGAAAATGCACAATGTACACAAATATAAAGTGCCACAAATGCCCATAAATTTAACCTGTCAAGCTCTAAGTGTAATCAGATTTCACAATATTAGTATTTTACTTCTTGAAATAAGATTTAAAACTATTATTATTTATACCTATTTCCAGCTTCAAAATGGAGGGGGGAAAAGCTATGATCTCATTTCTTTCAGGTATTAGGATAAAGAACTAATTATATTCCATTTTAGACTACTTGCTCATTTTAATACAACTTAAAAGCCTTCTGAGCTGGGGATGTAACTGAAGTTATAGAGCACTTCCCTAGCATTTGTGAGGCCTGTGATTCATTCAGTCCCTAGCAGTATACTGGAAATAGTTAAATACCAAAAATTCATATTTAAAATGAATATACAGATTACATTTATTTTTCACTGAATTGAAGTTTAAATATGGATCATTTTTATCATTGATAATATAAACCTCTGAGATAAATACAGTTTTCTAAGTTTTACATTGTATCCCACAGTACCCTGACTAATTTACACATTCCAGCCACTCTTCTTTTTTTTTTTTTTTTGTCTTTTTGAGATAGTTTTACTACATAGTTCAGGCTGACCTTGAGCTCACTTTCAAAATCAGGTTGTTCTCAAACTCACAATGATCCTCCTGTCTCAGCCTCTCAAATGATATGATTACAGGCGTGTACCACCACACCTGACTCAGCTACATACTTTTTGATACTTTTTATATACTTTTTGATACCACGTGAAGTGGTAATTTTATTTTATACGTTAATATATCTATGAAAACAATGGTCATAGTTTCATTATACATTGGAGAAGTTAGATATTATAATCACAAATCTCATAAATATTTGCACCTAGCTTTTCAAAGCAGTAACATTCAGTAGTAAAAAAAGTATCCTGAGATACCAAATAAATGGACAGAAACACAGACTTTTACAACCAGCTCATTAAATTACAAGGAAACATGTTTTCTAAAAACATTCTTCTAAACTTATTAACTTTAAGAAATAAAGAAATAATAAATGCACTGTTCTTCACACATTATTTTATTTTCCTCTAATTTGCTATATATTCTCTTATCAAGATTTTCTAAAATATTTAATATACTTAGTTATTTAGGAGGAGGTAAGAAACATTTTTTTAAAAGGTCTGTTTATAAAACAAAACAACATGTCAAACAGAACTGTTCAGAATTGTAATTCATTCACTACATTTTGACAAAGGAGATTGATAAAAAGGAAAATTGTGCACGAATTTCTACAACTTTGTGGAAAAATTCTTTACACTTATTTGTAATATGTTACAGTATAGAACTAACATGCTATCAATATAACACAGGATTTATTTTTATTTTTTGGTACCAAGTATCAAACTCAAGACCTTGCGCTTGCCAGGCAGGCACTTTTGCTGTGTGCTATCTCTCCACTTCACAGGATTTTATTTGTAAATACTAGGTAACAATTTTTTTTAAGTCTATAAGCATAATAAACCTTGAGAACATGCTTAATGGTTGGACTTCAATTTTATGTTCTTTTTTATTTTTATTTTTTTAACTTAGTACAGTGTCTACAGGGTCTCACTACGAAAATGGTCATATGAAACTATGACCATGGTTTCATGGATACATGAACTTTTAAAATAAAAATTACCACTTCATGTGGTATCAAAAAGTATAGCTGAGTCAGATG